CTATGAGGGAAATCCATATCTTCTACAGGGATGTCAAGGTAAACACACAAACACTGTCTTTCAATTTTGTACTCTTTTTTTGGGGTTGAATTTTGAATTAGTGAGCAGGTGATCTATATTTCACATGATTAATTTTGATCTTTTAATTAAATCATATTCCAGACGAAAATGAGTGCGAGATTGGGAACTCTTGTCCCGCAGACACCGTATGCAAGAATCATGTTGGGCATTATGAATGCCACTCACCACATATAGCATGTCCTGGGGTTAATGTGCTCCTTATAGGTATGCCCTTGTCCCCTTACAATATGACATTATTAAAGAAACCTATACTGTTAAATTTCTTTGACGCTTACTAATAACTTATATTTTTACATAATATATGAATTAGAGATTGTTTCTGCACAAAGAATGAACCGTGTAGAGAAAATCTTACTTAAAATCAGTTTTATTCAACTTTAACAAGATTTATTATTTATGGTATAGAATGGTCTTTTAAAGTTTCGATTTTAGATTTGAAGTATCAAATCTGAAACATAAAACCTAAAATTGAAGCCATCATAAAGTTTAAGCTCTAAATGGTGATTCTATACCATAGACAATCAATCATGTCAACAAATGGATCAACTTTGTGTTGAAATGAGGTTTTCTCAACACGGTTCTTAAAGAACGAATGTCCTGTATATAGAATAATTAATCTAAAACAACCAAAAAATAACAAAACTAAAAATACTTTCTTATTGTACTGGGCAATATATTCAGGTGATGGCATCCTGGCAGTGGTGTGGGGCTATTATTTCTACTCATTGGTGGTGGATGTTGTGGTGCATGATGGTTCATTCTTGGAGCTACAAAATTTATCTTCCGGCGAAGAAGATAATGATTGATTTCGAAAATATTGAAGATATGAAAATGTCCGAATTATTAAGACCGTGGACGTAGTGTGAGCTTGGGTCTTCTCTCACCCCTCCATCCTTGTGTTGGGTTTGTACTTTGTTGGGTTCTGCTGTGTTTATTTGAGCCTTTGCTTGTTTTGGGCTCGGTAATGTTTTACAATTGGGCCTACTTGTTCATATGGGCCTTTAATGTAGGCTTTGTTTTGTATATACTTTTTGAAAACTACGATACTTCCTTCATTTCTGCCAATAGGAGTGTGACATGTGTGCATAAGTTTTTCTTTTTGTGTTTTTAATGAATTGTTTTTGTATTTGTATTAAATTGTGATTTACAGGGAGGAGTATAAAAGCATACACAATTGCCTTCCTAAACCACCTCCTTAGACAAATTTTAGGGAGGAATTGTAAAAATACAACTTCAACCATGTTCCCTATCCACTTCCTAAAATAGGGAGACCTCTAGGAGCTCCTAATGGCTCCTAAGGAGACAAGTAGGTGGTTTAGGTAGCCCATTATGGATGCTCTAAGAAGACAAGTAGCATCAAGCTAAACTGGTACATCTTCCAGCCAATACAAACTTGATTATAAATTCAAAGCATGCTCAACGCCTTATAATATATATATTTTTTTGGGGCAGTTTTTGTAAATATAATTTTTTTGACTATCAATGGAACTTCTCGAAAAAAAAGTCAGCCTTTCACTCTCAAAGTTCCCTTCTGTTTTTTTTTTATCATTTCGTTGTCAAGTATGGCTGCTTAGAAGACAAGCAGCAACAAGAAACAGCATGATTTTTATACGGTCCTTCACTTGTTGTGAAGATAACATAGGAAAACAGCATTGATATTATATTTTCCAAGTTTGATGGAGAATTGACTGGGTGGGTGTGTTGTGAAAATGGATAAACACTTTCACTCACTCCCCTAATGATCTTGTTGTTGATGGACTTTGTGACACACACAAGGATGGATGAATCACACACACACACACTAGAGAAACCAACCAAGCACAAAGTGACACAAGTATTTTAGAGGTTCAGCAATTGCCTACATCCTCTTGGTGATCCCCTTGAGAAATTCACTAATGAAAGAATAAGTTACAACTTTGGTTTACAAAGAAACCCCCTTAGAACTCTATTATCTCCCAAGCTCTCTTTTCTCTCTCACCCCCTTGCTCAACACTTTGATGCACTTGTGAATACTCTCACACACTTGGTGTTTCCCTCATTGGTGTCTAGACTCTCAAGACCCAACTCAGCTCCTAACTTGAACTGATTGCCCTCTCTCTCTTCCTCCCTTGGTGAGATAACCTCCCTTTGAACACAATAGCTCCCAGCTATTTGAAAACTTTGAGATTAACCACACATTTTCTGTTTTGCTTCCTCTTCCCTTTAATACACAAGCCTTTGGACTTAGGAGAAGGCTCATCTTTTCCTCCCACGTTCTCCCCTTGGTTTCCAGACTTGGACCACAACTTGGGCAGAACAAAGGCTAGGCATTGACGGCTGCAACTTCAGCCACCCTATCTAGAGCCATAGGGTAGGTACTCCTTGAAGCAAGTCAACAAACATCCTTCAATGCCCCCTCAAACCTCCCAACTGATTGCCAACCTTCATTTATCTCAGAAGTGACCCCTAGGGTCCTTGGAAATCGGTGGGAGGCGATAGCCATTGAAAATAGAGTTGGAAACTCGAGGAACAAACAGAAACAGCACCTCTGGGCGACCGGTCGCTTTACACAGAGTCTTCAGCATTTCAGATTTTCTTCATGCGACCGGTCGCCAGCTCCTTGCGACCGGTCACTCGTCGATTTTTCTAAAGACTTCGAATCTGCTTCTAAACGACCGGTCGCTATTCCCTTGCGACCGGTCGCTTCCTGCGACACTTACATTGTAAATGTGAGCCATTTTACAACAGGGTGTAATCAAATCAAAGGATGAGTATAGGTTTTGAAAAACTTAAGGGAAAAGTATTCAAGCAATGCAGAAAACCAAGCACAAGGAAAGTGCAGAGAACTAACTACTATCTCTACACCTTCTTTACATTTGTTCTGCACAAGGTTGGGAGTTGATATTCATTGGGTTTCCGAGCTAGCTCCAAGCTTCCTACTAGAAATTGAGATATTACTTTGTTTACTCTGTTCTGGTGGTCTATGAGTAGTCCAGTACTAGCACAACCACCCATATCAAGGCCTAACTGTCGATCGAATTGCGGGGGCGTTGAAATCTCATATCCTTTTGGAATTGGAACAGGTTGTTACATTAACGACGGCTGGTTCCAAATAATCTGTGACAACTCCACTGGAAATCCGAAACCTTTCTTGAACCGTACCAATCTGGAGGTGTTAGAAATTTCAGTGGAAGAAGGCACATTAAAGGTCAGAAACCCAACCATCAATTAATGTTTGTCTTCGTAACTCTTCCTCGATGATGTTTACTCAACTAAGAATAGGACTTTCCACAAAAACAAAACTAAGAATAGGACTCGGGCTGACCCACCAGAATAAGATGCCGGCGGCTCACTGCAGTGAACATAAAGTTTCTTTTAGTCAGAGTATATCCGAACGTCAAATTCGGGACTCGGGTGAGTTTCCTTTCTCTTGCAGCTGAAGAAAGTAGCACGGCTTCCAACCCCAAGCTTGACGTCAATAGAAATTCTGAGCACCACCATTTTCTTGCGTGATGTTTTTCCTTTACTTTACGACTTTGTACACCCACCACCATGCGCCAATAAGAAATAGCAATAACCCCAACACCCGCACCAAGGCATGCACCAATAGGTATCATCTCATGAGTAGCTAGTTGAATAAATTTTGCTAGGTTTTGAACGCCAAGCCAAAAAGGAACAAAGGTTTGTATAATTAGTTAGTACCAAAATTCTGCAATGTTTGAGTTGGTTCTAATATGGGCTTGTCCAATATAGGTCCCTACAATTTCTATTTCCTAGACATATACCCATCATCCTATAAATCTATGTGTAAAACCCAATTTCAAACTTAAATAACCAGTAGGATATAAGAGATCATAGTATTCCTATGTTTTTACATCATTGCCATCAAACTTCATATTTAATTTATAATTTATTCCATGCATTTCATTACCTACCATAATTGTAATTAAAACTCCCTATTAATAGCATATCAATCATCCCATTTCTTTTGGTTGCTATACCCTCTAACATATCACCCCCTAATGTATAATTGAAATTTATGCACATTTTTTATAAATTAAAAATAGGTACCTTATTTAGAAGAAAAAAATAAGTTCATTATATTAGGTAAATTGTTTTACTAGGTATACATTATTAGAGAAAAAAAAAATAGGTACATTATTTAGAGAAAAAAAATAGATACAAATTTAGAGAAAAAAATAGGTTCATTATACTAGGTACATTATTAGAGAAAAAAAATAGGTACAATATTTAGAGAAAAAATAGGTTCATTTAAAAAAAATATTTTTCACAAAACAAATAATAAATAGATTATCAAATTATTTTTCAACATAATTAAAATTTACACTATTATTCATAAAAGTATAATAAAATAGATTACTAGTCGTATAATTCATAAAAGGAAAACAACATTAATTCCTAAATTTAATATTGAATGTAAATTACTAATAAGTTAAATAGATCACTAGTAGTAATTCATAAAAAACAACATTAATTCAAAAATAGATTACTAATACGTTAATGTTGAATTTAATATTTAATTTCAAATAAGTTTCTAAATTAATTCCTACATCCATTACAACCATTTGGTAATCTTTCCAAATTCAATGTGTGTCATTAGTTACACCACCCATAACACATTAAGTCATAAATAGGGATAGTTTTGGAATCCGAAAAATACAATAAATCAGATTTTAAGTTATATTAGGTAACTTGCTTAGTTGGATCCTAGTCATCGGGTATTATTTGAAAATTTTGGGTATTTTAAATAGAAAACTAAAAGAAAGAGTGTAGGTGATTTAAAATGAATTTTATGGGTTTAAGCTCAATTTACTATTCTAATATATTATGATCTCAAGTCCGAATTGATATATATGATCTATCAAAGCTTAATTTGTAAACCGGTTTGATTATTGGAAGTATTCCTGGTCCAAGTAACCAAATGTAGTTTTTATCTAAAAGTATGTTTGTTGAGTTAATGTCTTTGTAAAAAACAGGAGAGGAAAGAGCTCCTACAATTTCTGTGGCAATACATAAACACAGTTCCCTGTTGTGTTTTAACTTGGTCTCCATAAGAAACACAACAGAGGGTCTCTTCATACAAATTCCTCTGTCTCCCTCCCTGCATAGGACTGAAGTTTCATAAATTACCCAGAAATCATTTTGCTCAACAAGGAATACATGGTTGTAATCAACAAATACTCTGTCCTTTCCACTAATTTACTCTCATTATTCAGATTATTGATAGTAGTATGCTTGCTCATTATTACTGATAGTAGCATGCCTACCTTACAGAACATATCATAATCCCAAACAACATATAATGTTGTACAGCATCAAATTAAACATGGATTACAAGAAGTGTTTTTAATTAACTTGTTTACCATGTCACAGAAGATGATAGTGGAAACTCGTCTAATGGTGAACTGGGACTAACATTCGAGGCTGACTCTGTTGAACTTGAAACAGCATCCCAGTGCTCATTTATGTCACTTAGAGCAGATTCAAACCCGTTGTAATTCTGTGGAACATTACAAGTGTTTTCAATCAACATTTGAATGGCCTCCAACTCCGTTGCGACCTCTCTCATTGTGGGGCGATTCCTTCCATTCATATTCAAGCATCTCATTGCAAGGTTAGCAAAAGTTATGATATCTGTTTGGGAGCCCTCCATCACAACCCCAGCATCAAGAATGCCAAATAGACGATCTTCTTGCATCGAAGTAATGAAATAAGTGGCAAGACCTTTGTATTCATTTCCTTCTGACCCTGTTACTGCAGAAACTGGTTGTAGACCAGTCAAGAGCTCAACAAGGACAACTCCGAAACTATAGACGTCACTTTTCTCTGTAAATTGGCTTGATTGAAAGTATTCCGGGTCCAAGTAACCAAATGTACCATGTACAGCTGTGGTCAAGTGAGTCTGGCCGATCACAATTGATCTTGAAGTGCCAAAGTCAGCAACTTTTGCTCTGTATTTATCATCTAAGAGTATGTTGGTAGACTTGATGTCTCTATGATAAATAGGAAAGGAAGCTGCACCATGCAAGTAAGATAGAGCTCCTGCAATTTCTGTGGCAATTCGTAACCGTATTTTCCATGTAAGTGGAAAGTCTTCATTCTGCTCATGAATATAGTGGGAAAGGGTTCCATTCGGTATGAATTCGTAAACCAAGAGTGGAACTTCAGTCTCTAAACAACAACCTAATAATTGAACCACATTTCTGTGATTTATTTGTGAAAGAATCACAACCTCATTGATGAATTCTGAAAGTTGGCCTTCATTCAATATCTTAGACTTCTTTACCGCAATGATTCTTCCATCTGCGAACATTCCTTTGTAGACGGTACCTTGGCCTCCTTGGCCAAGAATTCTATCAATGTTGAAGTTGTCAGTGGACTTCTCCAACTCCTCTGATTTGAACAACTTGATTTTCTCAACATTGACTTCACCTGATGATAATTGTTGTTGTAACAATAAACCACCGTTTCGTTTGAAAAACTTTTCCTTGCGTTTAATGTTTTTCCGTTTTTTTATGACTTTGTATGCATACCATGCACCCACGAGTAGCAACAATAGTCCGGGACCCATGAAAACACCTGCATATGTAAATATACATGGAATTATAGTTGGATAAAACTATGCATACCGCATTTGTACCACTATGAGTTTGAGACTCACTTACAAATAGGTTCCACTTTACAATTATATCCCCCTTTTTTTCCCAACAAAAATAAACTTTTTCCATTCATTGTGAAATTAATTGCACAATAACCATTTATAATACAAACCTAAACCAAAAAAAACACTCTACACCACCTAAATTCAAATTTCTTCTCCTTCACCATCAAGGCCTTGAGATGGTAATTCTCCTTCTTTTTCTAGGTAGCTGGGGTTTATGTAACTACGTAGCTACCAAATAGGTTTGGGTGTTGAGGTAGCCTACCTATCAAAGGAGAATATGATTTGTGAGTTTTCTGCATATTACGTATACTAATTATGTCTTCCTATTAGTAGATGTCTTTCATCTCTTCCCATCATTTTTTCAGCAAATCCTTAGAGCATCCACAGTGGGGGGGTGTATATGGGGGTGTATGTTAAATATACACCCCGAGTCACCGGAATCGTCTCCAATGGTGAGATGTA